CTCTCTAAAATAAATAAATAAATCTTTAAAAAAAAAAAAAAGGTGTATGAGCAGGGCACCTTGGTGATTCAGTCGTTAAGCGTCTGCCTTTGGCTCAGGTCATGATCCCAGGGTCCTGGGATTGAGCCCCAAATCGGGCTCCCTGCTCAGCGGAAAGCCTGCTTCTCCCTCTCCCACTCCCCCTGCTTGTGTTCCCTCTCTCGCTGTGTCTCTCTCTGTCAAATAAAATCTTTAAAAAAAAAAAAAAAAGGTATATAAGCTTTATGAAGACTATTACAAAACATGACTGAAAAACATGAGTCATGAATAAACAAAACAAATACACCATGTTCATAGATAGAAAAACCCAATTCATAAAGATGTCATATTTTTCCCAACTTAATCTATTAATTGAATGTGTCTCTAATCAAAACCCCATTATAATTTTTCAGAGAGCTTAAACTGATTTTAAAATCAATAATAAGTAGATCTAATCTATAATAAGAGTAAGGGCCTAAGTGTGTTTGGGTGGCTCAGTGGGTTGAGTGTCTGCCTTCAGTTCAGGCCATGATCCTGGAGTCCTGGGATCAAGTCCCACAGTGGGTTCCCTGCTCAGCAGGGAGTCTGCTTCTCTGCCCCTCCCCTGGCTCATGCTCTCAATTTCTCTCTCTCACTCACTCTCTCTCAAATAAATAAATAAAATCTTAAAAAAAAAAATAGTAAGGGCCTAAGAATAGCCAAGGTTATTCTGAAAAAGAAAAAGGAGGAAGAACCACACCTACCAGATATCGAGACACTTGCTGAATTAATAGTATTTTAAGATAGCACAAATTTGGAGCAGAGATAAATAAATGCATACATGAAACAAAATAAAAACAGCAGAAATATTCCCAAGCATATATGGTACCTCAATATGATTAAAAAGGAATGACAAGTTAAAATGCACTCTTTAATAAATGGCCCAGGGACAAGTGTCCTTCCTTTTGGAAAATAAGTAAAATAACTACCTCACACCATGTTCAAAAAATAAACTCAAAATTTTCTAAGAAAATTTAGAAAGTCTTTATGACTTTGGAGCAGAAATGTATTTTTCAAGATGGAAACAAATTATAAATGGAAAATACTGAATATTTTAACTATATCAAAATTTTAAATTTCTACATTTAAAAAATCATTTAAAAAGATGTCATAAAGTAGGAGACAATATTTGCAAAAAAATTAATATTCAGAGTATACAAAAACAGCTCCATAAAACTCTTTAACAAAAAGACTAAAAAATGCAATAGAAAAATGGGCAAAGATATGAACAGGCAATGAAAGGTGCTCAACCTTACTAGTCATCAGAGAAATGTACATTCATTAGGCTGGCAATAATTTAAGTCTACCAACATCAACTGTTGTCAAGGCTGTGCAGAAACAGAAACCCTCCACCACCAGCGGTGGGAGTTTAAATCAGCACAAGCACTCCCAAGAGCTGCCTGGCAACAGCTGAGAAGGCTGAAGAGGTGCACACCTGGACAATGCGTGCATTATTTTCTCTTGGGAAACTAGCATGTGTGGATAAAGAGAGGTTTACTGCACCATTTTGTATATTAGAGAAAACTGGAAAATGCCCAAATGAAAACAAAGAACTGTTGAGATTCAAATGCTAGAACTGTGATCGAGAACTGTATATATCAACATTGATAAATCTTAAAAACACATTATCGAGGGATTTTTTTTAAAGGACAATGCAGAAAGTGATTTACAGTATGGTATCATTTGGAAATATTTAAACAATAGACCAATGTTACATACAGCTAAGGAGCTCTGTACCTAGAAGGTCAGGGTAGAACACACTGGCCACAGGAAGTACCTGGCAGAGGAGGGAGCACAGGGAAGGGGGTCAGGCTGGAGGAAAAGGGAGAGGGCCGCACCCACTCTGATGTGTGTGTTTACTATGTATGTACAGGATGAAATCATGTCAGCATTTGTTCATTCCGGGTGGTGGGTACATGGGTCTATGCCGTATTATCTTCTGCAAAATTCATTGGCTGAAATAAAAATTAAAGAACTCTATTCACTAAAAAAAAAAAATGAAAGCATCTCTGGGCTCAGTCTCTATCTCCAGTCTAGACCTTCCCTTGAGCATGACGCCTTTCGCCTGATGCCTACAGGAACTTTACACCCCTACTCTTCAAACACAGAATGTCTGAAATGTACTTACTTCTTCCTGACCCCTCCCTGCACCCCCCATGTGCTCCTCTATAGACATGATCACCACACATACACTCACCCCTCTGCTGGAAACGTTTCAATGACTCTCAATATACTCCAACAACTTAAAGACAAAAAAAGGTAGGGAAAACCTTTGTTCAAACAATCAAGAAAATCCTGCACACAAGTGCAAACAAATCAGATACACATGGAGCTGCCTGGGTAGAGCAGGATGGGGGTCAGGGCTCGGCACCTCTCTAGTCCAGGGGGAAGGCCCAACGGAGCCCCTCAAGGAACAACTGGAAAATTCCTGGTTGCAAAATAAAACTAAGAGAACAAAGACTCTCATCGTCTGGCCCTCCTCCACATTTCCAACCACACTTCCTGCCGCTCTCTGTTCAGAGTTGGGATCTCCAACACCATGAGAGCACTTCTATTCTTCACACACCCAGTGCACCTAGCCTCTATGTCCACCAGCATCAGAGAGCCTGACCACATGTCCACACAACTCCACCTTTTCTCTGCAAGTGCCACTTTTGCACGTGTCTTGAACTTCACCTTGTGAATGGAGCCTCTCTAGCCAGAAAAGCGATTCAGCTCCCAGAACTAGGATGAGCAGGGAAGGCAACAGCCCGAGGTAACCGAGGCCCTCTACCTATCTCAGCGTCCTCACTTCTGCCCAAACATCTTCCCACCTCGCCTCCTGGGGCTTCTCCATCTCCTGCAACAAATTCAGCCAACAATGTAACTGTTCTTTTACTCCCACCTCTTTGACATTTTTATGCTCTTTCTAGCTTCTGCTACTGTGAAGGTTCTGACAGCACCCATCTGAGGGCTGCCTTGCTGTCTGACAGTGAATGAAATCCTGCTACTAAGTGACTTCAGTTCTCCTCCCTGTTAATGATGACAGGTTAAATGGGCCAGCCAGCTGAATGCTGCTGGCAGTTTTAAACGGCAATGCATTAAAGCAAAAGGTGCAAGGTCAGCCTTTTAGAGTTGTGGCACTTAACAAGGTTAAAATCCAATCTGCTCTGAAAAGTCAGAAAGTTCAATTTATCAATCCAGCATGGAACGATCAAGTTCTGGGGCACTCGTAATAATGAAATTCACAAAAGACTCATCTAGTCTACAAAGTGCCAACTGTGATGGACTTCACTGTGTCCCCTCAAAATCCTATGTTGAAGCTCTTGCCCCCAGTGTGACAGCATTTGGAGATGGGGACTAGAAGGAGGTAATAAAGGTTAAATGAGATCATAAGGTGGGGCCTTAATCTAACTGCACCGTTGCCTTCTAAGAAGAGGAAGAGACAACAGAGATCTCTCTTTCGACTGAGCACAGGGAAAAGGCCATGTGAGGACACCGTAAGAAGGTGCCAACTGCAGACTAAGGAAAGGGGCCTCAACAGAAACCAGTCCTGACCGAACCTTGATCTCGGACTTCGAGGCTCCATTCTAGGATCAAATACATTTCTGTTGTTTAAGACACCCTGTCTGTGGTATTTTGTAATGGCAGCCCTAGCAAACTAGGACACCAAATTATGAATTTTAAATAAAGATACAGCAGACAGGGGCACCTGGGCGGCTCAGTCGTTAAACGTCTGCCTTGGGCTCAGGTCATGATCCCAGAGTCCCGGGATCGAGCCCCAAATCGGGCTCCCTGCTCAGCAGGAAGCCTGCTTCTCCCTCTCCCTCTCCCACTCCCCCTGCTTGTGTTCCCTCTCTCGCTGTGTCTCTCTCTGTCAAATAAATAAATAAAATCTTTAAAAAAAAAAAAAGATACAGCAGACAAATCACGCCTCTTGCTGAAGACACCACATCATGGTACCAAGGTATTCAAACCTAGAAATCAAATGCATGATCAACTTCAGCCAGCCAGCAAGGAAGGAGAATGAGGTGAATAAAATGTGCTCAAGGAATCTGAGAGAATACATATACGTACCCAAAAAGGCTTTAGTCTTCCCTTGAATAAATGCTAAGCTCCTTGTCTCCAGCTCTCCTAAGCTTTCCCTGTTCCATACTGCTCACAAGAGCCGGTTGTTACAATGTCACTGGCCCCAGAACGACTTAGAATTCTTTCTAAGATCACAACTCATCTTACAAGAGCTACATTTAGGAAGCAGTGTTTCCCTTCACTCTGGATGGACAGACGTTACTCTGGTAAACTGTCTCCAAATAATAACTCAGAATTTGAACAGTTTCAGAGAAAAATTCTACCCTACAAACAACTGACCTGTCCTTGGAGGCTGTTGTAGGAAACAAAGAGTGGGGAGGATGCGCTCTTGCCAAAATATGAGAACACTTCTTCTTTTAAGTTTAGCATTCTCTACTAACTAAAATTTAAACAAAGGCAGATACTCTGAACACAATAAAACAGTCATCAGGCCTCTTACTTCAAAAAAAAAAAAAAAAAGGTCTTTCAATAGAGTGCAGCACAATGGATATTCGGTCCACGGAGTTGCTAAGTTAATAAAATTGTACTTATTTAAAACTACAAATTAACCTTAAAGGACCAGATAGGCTTCTTCCAAGTAGCTCCGACATTTATGATTGAATGAACAGCCCCTGCCAACCAGCCAGGCGGAAACTCCAATGACAGTGACAAGGGGCTTGTCAGAAGACAGAGGGTCAGAAAGTTGGGGGCTTTGTAGGCTGCAGCTACAGTCCACAGCAATAGTCAGCCCTAAGTGTGTCAACATTAGTAGCCCTCCCCGGTGACCAGAACAGTCTTCTAAAAGCAGGTGGCAAGTCAATTAATATGCCTTGAAAAACAATCAGAATGCAGAGAACCCCAATCATTTAGAAGCGCACGGGCGGGGCTATACTTACATGAAGGGATAATGAACTGTGGCTCAGTGTTGCCCGCGTAGCCAAGCTTGGTGTACCTAAAAGCACAAAGTCATCAACACAGGTTTAGACAATAACACTCTCCCCTGCATCCCATTAGCGTCTTCTATTATAAGCTCTCCAAGTCTGAAAATACCAAGCCTCAAAATAGTCACTTGAAATTTAAAAAAAATAAAAATAAAAAGCTTATGATGAGAATCAAACCCTAATTTCAGATAAGTAAGCTGTTATTAAAACATAACATGTTATTCTCGTTTCTACTGGGGGAAATCTTGCACACATGCATTAACACATAAATCACATTTGTGTATCCCTACCGACTTTCCAAGTGCTTTTACACTCTTTTACTTTTTACAAAAACCCAGGAAAGAAAGTAAATATTATCCCTATTTAGCAGATGAGAACACTGAGGCACTGGGAAGTTAATTCAGCTGCCCAAAGCCAAGCAGCTGGTGAACAGGAAAAAAAAAAAAAAAAACCCAATCTAAATATGCAGGCTAAATCCCAGAGCTGGCTCTCAAAGAAGTGTACTTACTTCTCAAACTTCATGAACTTTTGGGGGGGGGGGGGAGGTTAAAAATGATTATATAATTTTCTTAAAATGTCATGGCATATGTCTAGAAACAGTTACTGCCACCTCCTGAGAATATCTGACAGGAGCATCTCTTTATCATCTCATTTCAGAAGGAGCCCATTTTCTGTCAAGATACTCTGTGTGATGGATTCCAAAAGTCTTAACTAAAACAAATGCCAAAATACTACTATCTGTTCCAAAAGCATTTGCTAATCCCTTAAATAAAAAAAAAAAAAAAAGTGGTGGGGGGGGACCACCACTGAGAACCATCTGCTGGAAATAAAAAATTGAAAACCAAAAAGACTCATCAGCTCTTCCTTTCTTATTAGGCTTTACTGTAACGAACAGTAAAGTCTGGACAACTGAGCCATCATTCCGCAGTAATGCTTGTAATGAAGAAAAATACCCCCCAGCAGTGTTGAAAGTAACCTTATTAATTCATTCTATTTTATAAATTATTTCAAGATGCTCGATACTAAAATTTTTTTGATGTGGCACTACATTCTAAATTCTAATAAATTAATTTTATGATTTTTCAATGTATTTTACCATATGCTAATTTTACTATTTTTGAACACACAGTGAATGAATAAGCTTTGGTGAGCCAAAAACGGCAAGTTAGCTCCATTTAAATCATGCCTTACTGCTCAGTCTCCAAGGATCTGACGTCTTGGTGCCACAAGAACCTGGGCGAGGCTAGGCTCTGAAACCCAAAAGGCCCCATAATAAGTTTCCAAGACCCATCTGAGGGCCCCCCAAATTCCACAAATTACCAGACACACAAACCAAGTGGACCCCACTCCAGGGCTCACCAGACCCAGAGGGAGGTTTCAAAGCCAACCCAGAGCCGGGGACTTTCCAGAAGGCAGGCAACATATACTAAACTTCTAAAAATTCCCAATTCGACCATCATTCTGGAAGTATCTTCCAAACAATAAATACAAATAAACTGAATTGCTGACCCAAGTCTAAAGAAGCCTAGCAAGCAGGTCAGAAACACTAAAATCCTCAAATTTAAGACTATGGTTTTTAAAAGGCCACATCACCCACCCCCCAAAAATACAGCTTGCGCTTAATCTGCCTCCCCGCACTGTGAGATTTCAAGGCGTACGAGAACATACGAGGACAGCACGTAGTCCCTGTTCCCGACTGCACCTACACCCCCGGCACTGTGCCTGGCACGTGGCGGGCACTCCCTAGAGACCTGCGCCGTGAGCTCTTACCAACGTAAGGAAAGGCCACTGCTGTCCAACTGCTGGGCAAAGGAGCGGCGCTGGAAAGGGGGATGCTGAAAGTCAGAAACACAAGGTGATGGGGCCACAAAAGACCAGACCCATCATCTAGCATAATCTTTCATTTATAGGTGAGAAAACAGTTGTTTCTGTGATGAGGTTATTTTCAAAAAAAGAAAAGAAAAACCTGAAACAAATACAGTAAAATATTAACACTTTTTAAAATTAGGTGCTAAGTATCATTTCTATCTATTATTTTTTGTATTTCTGCAAGTCAAGAGTGTGTTGTATTGGTTAAGACCATGCATCCAGCATGAGACTGCTCGGGTTCACGTCCCAGCTGTTTTTTGCCAAATGTGTGACTTTGAGCAAGTTACTTTACCTATCTGCATCTCAGTTTCTCCATCTGTAAAATGGGGATAATAATACAACCTATTTCTTAGGGCGAGTTTTTTTTTTTTTATTCTTATGTTAATCCCCATACATTACATCATTAGTTTTAGATGAAGTGTTCCATGATTCATTGTTTGTGCATAACACCCAGTGCTCCATGCAGAATGTGCCCTCCTCAATACCCACCACCAGGGTAACCCATCCTCCCACCCCCCTCCCCTCTAGAACCCTCAGTTTGTTTTTCAGAGTCCATCGTCTCTCATGGTTCGTCTACCCCTCCGATTTCCCCCGCTTCATTCTTCCCCTCCCGCTACCTTCTTCTTCTTCTTTTTTTTTTTCTTAACATAGATTGCATTATTTGTTTCAGAGGTACAGATCTGAGATTCAACAGTCTTGCACAATTCACAGCGCTTACCAGAGCACATACCCTCCCCAGTGTCTATCACCCAGTCACCTCTCCCTCCCACCCCACCCTCCACTCCAGCAACCCTGTTTGTTTCCTGCAATTAAGAATTCCTCATATCAGTGAGATCATATGATACATGTCTTTCTCTGTTTGACTTATTTCGCTCAACATAATACCCTCCAGTTCCATCCACGTCGTTGCAAATGGCAAGATCTCATTCCTTTTGATGGCTGCATAATATTCCATTGTATATATATACCACATCTTCTTTATCCAGTCATCTGTCGATGGACATCTTGGCTCTTTCCACAGTTTGGCTATTGTGGACATTGCTGCTATAAACATCGGGGTGCACGTACCCCTTCGGATCCCTACTTTTGTATCTTTGGGGTAAATACCCAGTAGTGCAATTGCTGGATCATATGGTAGCTCTATTTTCAACTTTTTGAGGAACCTCCATACAGTTTTCCAGAGTGGCTGCACCAGCTTGCATTCCCACCAACAGTGTAGGAGGGTTTCTTAGGGCGAGTTTTATGTATAAATAGGGAAACAGAGAAAGCACTAGAACAGTGCTATCTACATTAAGTTTTATTTTTTTACTATTGTTATTTTTCTGTACGTTTGAAATATTTTTTTTTAAAGATTGTATTTATTTATTTGAGAGAGAGAGAGAGAGCACATGAGAGGGGGGAGGGTCAGAGGGAGAAGCAGACTCCCCGCCGAGCAGGGAGCCCGATGCGGGACTCGATCCTGGGACTCCAGGATCATGACCTGAGCCGAAGGCAGTCGCTTAACCAACTGAGCCACCCAGGCGCCCCGTTTGAAATATTTCTTAATTTAAAATTTTGAAAAGCTCAGAAAACACACCCATGGTATGGTCTGTTGCTGTGTTCGGTCTTTCTGCTGTACACGAGTCTATACACCACAGACACACTGCTTTGCATTGTGGTGGAAATGAAATGCACAAATGGTAAACCCAGCAGATACCAGCTATCCTTCCGCAACTGTGTCCTGTACCCTGCAATCATGAACTACATGTAACCCAGAGCAACAAAAGGTCAGACTGCAGAAATGGGCTGGAGCACATTTAGACTCACAGCTCCAAAATTCAACTGAATACTGATACCACCACCTCGCGCCACTCGCCGACCACGGCTGGAATGCTGAGATCCTGAAGGCGCGGCGCTCTCCCGGACAGGACAGACAGCCTTCAAGGGAGGCCTTCTGTCATCGAGTCACACAGGTAACGGAGCATCGGTAACATTAAGCAAATGATTTTCATGACTGAGGCAAACTAACATTAAGACATATTAATGTTTCGGGCGCCTGGGTGGCTCAGTTGGTTAAGCGACTGCCTTCGGCTCAGGTCATGATCCTGGAGTCCCTGGATCGAGTCCCGCATCGGGTTCCCTGCTCCGCGGGGAGCCTGCTTCTCCCTCTGCCTCTGTCTCTCTCTCTCTCTCTGTCTCTCATGAATAAATAAATAAAATCTTTAAAAAAAAAAAAAAGACATATTAATGTTTCTATGTATAAACAAATTACTATGAGATCCTCCCTATCTCCTACCAAAACTGAAGCCATTAAAAACAATGGCAAAAGTATAAACTATTCAGGTCACTTAAGGTAACTTAATATCTTTAGATTTTTTCTGCTACTCCTTATAGAGCATCAAATACACTTGAGGTTTTGTTACTTTGAATAATCACAATGTAATGAATGTCTAACAAGATTTCTTTAAAGAGACATTCAAATTTAAAATTTTAATAAAACCTTTATCAACCCGGCTCAAACCAAACTTTAATGAGAACATATTAAATGTAACACTGCAAATGTAACCTAACAAGTGCTCATCCTATAATCCTCTCCTAGGAGGACAATCCAATGCTAGACTGGCATGCCCCATTAGAAGTAATCTTATAACAGCTCAACTATATAAAGAACAGAACAAAAAAAAAAAAAAAAAATCAACAAGTAAAACACAACTATTAAATATGGACCATGTTCAAGACACCATTTATGAAAACAAAGAAGCATTTTTTTTAATCCCTGTCAGTTTCCTAGCTAGAAACATGTAGTAGGCATACCATGAGGATACTAAGAAGGGAGGGGGAAAAGCATGGCCCCGGTCCTCAAAATAGTCCTCAAAATGTTTACCTATTAGAAATCGGATTTCAAATTGATTTTTTTTTTTTTATTGAAGCATGACCTACCTTCTCTGGTAGGCAAGTTTAAGTTCACCTGGGTAGGCTTCCAGAAAAAATGTACCAAACCTTCTGAACAGATCATCAGGGAAACTTCTAAAATACATATTCCCAGTACCCGCCCCAGAATCACTGATGGGAATCTCCAGAGAAGGAGCCTGGGCACCTGTATTTTTAACATCTTCTATCCCAACCCCGTGGTTCTGATGGTCAACGTGCTTAGAAATCACTA